ATTTCCGGCCCGCAATAGGTCCAGCTCCAGCATCGGAATGTTGTTGCGCCTGAGCCTGAGCCTGAGCCTGAGCATGACCATTACTGCTACTGCCTCCGCCCATCATCTTGGACAAGCCTCCGCCGACCTGGTTCGACAGGGGGCTCGCGTGCGCAACGGTAGCCGCCATATTATGTATTTTTTTGTTGATGGCTGATATTCCCGTCATAAAGAGGAGGAGGGATTCGGTTCGGGTCTTAGAAGTTGTTTGGTATGGTTATCGTTCAGCTGGGCAGCACGTCGATCGTCACCATCACGGCCCGAAAAGGTGGTCGAGTCGAATAAGACAGGTCAAGGTAGACCAGTCGTCGCGAAGTTTTCAGGTGGGTGAAGAAGGAGAAAAGTAGGTGGTGTTCGTTGCGTCTCGTGAGTGGTCAATGGGCAGGAGTTGTGGTGGTGGAAAGGGGTTCGGTTCGGATCGAGGCTTCGTCTGGTGCTGGGTCTAGGCCCAGGACTGGGGATGGATATGTGTGGTTCGGAGCTGTAGAACTGGAGCTGGCGGGAAGGCACGCTGCACCGTTTCTTCCCCTGGGGCGACTGACCACTGCTGCTAACAATGGAAGACGAAGTAAAGTAGCCGAGAGTGGTTCGTTCGCGACGTCTGATATGGGCTCGGGTAGGATATCGTATTTGTCTCGGTCGTGTTCTGTGTGTGTATCTGGACCGGTAAGGTAAGGTAAGGTATATGATGGGAGGAGAGCACGTCTTCCACTCTTTCTCGTTGGTGGTGACCTTTCAGGGAGAGGAAAACCTTCAGATGAAAGGGCCGTGGCAATGACGAAAGGCAGGCAGAATAGACAGCTACATACGGTAGGAGCATTTATGGGGCAGACCAGGAAGGAGGGAGGAGGGAGGGGCAGAGCGCGACTACTCCCGTACTTGCTGCTTCAGAGTGTCTGGCTATTTGCTGCTTCAAATGGCAGGGACCGCTAGGTTGTGATTGCCGGGATGGGACGTGGAACACCACGTTATGGGCAGGCAAGAGGCGTGGGTTCTTGGCTTCTTTGCTACCCGACAACACGGGGGTACCCTCCCACGCCGCCCACTTTCGCTCCTTCCCACTTTGCAACCGCGATACCTCGTGATACTTTGGTCATGCCTTGCACACCACGGCCCAATGTGAGGCAAGATGTATCCCGAGTACCTCCTTCTCTCACCGCGTGGGCAATTACCCAGGTACTTACTACTTCGCACTTACTGCGTACGAAGTAGGTACCTACATGGAATGGAAGGCCGTGTGGATGTGGACTTGCATTGTGTGGATGGGTCGGTCGCTCCTTCAACCTGCACTTGTAACCTCACCAACACAGCTGCACTTTGACATGTTTGCCGCCTTTCTCACTCTTTTACAGCCTGCCCAATCCCAATCCACGACTATCATTCGTACACTAGGTACGTTAGCAACGCTTAGCCACCCGCCCAGATACTGCAGCAGACCGCTGTAGAGTCGATGGAGAAACAAGTCTCGACTATGCAGCTTCGCAGCGGGTGCGGCGTGTAATCCAGCGGAACCACCGACATGGTCTTGCCTCTTTGGGAATAGCCTCCTGTCCACCCGGTGGAAATCCGGGGACTCACTCTTCTGCGGCCTGCCCATGTCTCGACTCGGCCCGCCTCGGCCACACTCGTACCGGTACTCCTCCTCTTCTTCGTCTTCTTCTGTTCTTCCAGTCTTCCTCGACTGTCGATTCCTCGCGTGGAACCCCTACCAACACCTCGCCACGACCATTGCATTCCGTCTGGAACATCCGCCTGGGACCGTCAGCTACGGAGGCTGTCCGTCCACCCCACATGGCACCGCTTCAGCTTATGGGCTCTGGCACTCAGCTCGCATCACAGCAGTATTACGGGTTAATAATACTTGACCCCTTTCTTGATGGCCCATTCGCATCTTCCTGCAACATTCGTCAACAGCACCGACCAGCTATTTCGCTTTGTTCATCACACTGAAATCTGGTCCGCCAGTCTCACTTTCTTACTCTTCTGAATTCTGCGGTCTCCCCGCCAGCCCCAGACGAAGAAAGCTCCGCCGCCCCCTGTTGACCACCTGTGCTTGGATTTGCTGATATCAGCCCAGCTATCGGTTACACTCCCAAGTAGACGCCCATACGCTGTTAATCCGATGTCGTCCACGATTAGACACCCTGACTCCCACATCCGAATAAATCTCCGAAGCCCTGATACGCCCAAGAACTGTGGGTTCTTTCTTCCTCTAGTTTCCAAGGGCCTTTAGGTACATGTCAGGTATAGAGCCACCCGAGGCAATGAGGAGACGTCCATGTCCACCGCTCTAATCCAGAGCCCGAACCACAACGGACAGTCTCCTAGATTCGTATAGGCTTGCCTCACCTTTGCCGTATACGCTTCCGTATTTGATCGGTCTCCGTTCTCCCGGTTCTTCCGTAGCGCTCATCTACGGCGTTCCGTCGGCCAGAAAACAAGCCGCGGCGGTATCAAGCTCTGTTTCCCTCACCATACCACCGTGGCGTAACAGATGTGGCTACTACCGCCAAAGAAATGTGGCTCTGACGGAGCCTCCGGACGTTTGAGGGCCGATGAAAAGACGGTAAAGGCAAAAAGGAGACCTAACACCAACTGACAGAGACAGTCTTAGGCTACGGCTGATGGAGACGTCGCTGCTGAATCAACAACCGTTGGCGTTGCTGCTCCCCCGAGGCTTTCATCGCATCCAAGACATTCAGTTTCGCACAGGGCCGCCTCATGGTCAGTCAGATCTCGCCCAGGCCATGCGGAATCCGGTCCCGCGGGGAGGGAAAGGGCCTGATCAGTGATACACCTTGCATGCAAGCGACTCTTATCGGCGACTATGACGCAACGTCTCGATCTCATCCCACCTCTCGCCCACACCTCAGCTCGCTCACTGACACTGACTTTTCCCAGCCAACATCCGCAACGACATGCTTTTCGGCTTCGCAATCCGAGCCGTTTCTACCACAGCCTGGCAAGTTAACCACGTGCTGTTCACAGCACGGGTGAACAGCACGGGGAAGCATAGCCGATGTGCCATACTCAGCAAACACAATAGCCTCTACTGGATATCTTAATATCTCGTCATGGCCGAGCTTAAAAATTACACCATGAAATCAATCTCAAGAGAGTTTGTCCGACAACATGTCAAAATTGGCAATTCTGAGGGCCACGAAACCTTGGTATGCCGGCAACCAGTCAACCAGAAACACATCACTGAGATCCCCATCAGCCTTTCGTCAGCGCCATGCGGCTTGGCCTGGGTCTTGCTTCCTTTACGTCCTTTACATGAGTCGCGCCCATGCCTGAGTGCGGCGAGGGCCCGACTGTTATGTCACTTCAGCCCCCAACGAACCGCTGTCTACTCCTCTAAGTGAAAATTTCTTCCGGGTTAACCAGGTCGTCCGGCCGGCAGTTCCTGAAATAAGCACCAATTTCCAGCCCCGAGTACAGAGATGAAGATGTTCATTGTTGAGGTGGCACGCGCCCCGTTCGCTTCCGAGGATCGCGGCGTTCGTCGGACGCCAGATCTCGATTGTCTGCAGCAGTCTAGTGCGTTTCGAAAAGTCCTTTGACGTTCGGCGTAGGCGTAAGGCTGAGATGAGCTTCCCATCACGCTCGATTAGGGCCTTCGGTCTCACAGTCCTGATCCGGCGATTTATCGGATCAACTAACGCTTTACATGTTGCCCAAACGAACCTCACGTCTGCTGAGAAGCCTCACCTGTTTTGGACTCTGCTCCGTGCGTGCTCCCGGCTTTCAAGGTCTTTACTCGGAGTCAAAGTGGATTTCAAGCACAACGTTGAAAGCTCTTGCGAGGTAAGGTGCACTCTGCCACGCCGTGGCCGTCTTGGCAGAGTTCCGGCCGGGCCGCCGCCGAATGCGAGTGCAACGCCGTATTGAATTACTGATTCACCAGACGGAAATGCATCGTCAAGAACGTGTCACGAGTTACGAGATGCCAAGCCGGAGGGAGTCCTGCTTGAGCCTCACAATCAGGATTTCAAGTTCAAGTAGTCTTGAACATAAGTCATTGTCATCCGGTCGGTGTTCTTTCTCCAACCGATACAGTTCTCAAATTCTTCGTCGAGGGCTTCCGCGGAGACGCGCGGCTAAGGAAAGGTCTCCGATCTATCAAAACTCAACAGCAACATCCATGCCCGGGAAGCTGTTCTTTTCCATCTTCAATCACCGGGCGGCAGGAAATGACTTGTGAGTGGACGACCCGGGCCGGAACTCGGGACTGTTTTCTATCCCTTTTTGTCCTTTCTTCTCTCTTCTGTCCCTTGTCTGAACAGAAAGAAGACCCTCGTCTCGAGCTGCCCTTTAAACCAACCTCGGGATAACCCTTGCAAGCCCCCATCTCAAGTCCCGGTCTTCGACCTGGGTCCCGGTGGTCTGGGAAACCACACACACACCCCCCATCTCCAACGCCACGACGCCGCTGACGAAGACGAGCACCTTTCCATTCTGTCGGAAACACTTTGACTCGCGCCTCGTGTCAGCCGGATATGCCATGGCATGGCCCGCTTACCTCCCCCCTTACGAGATCTGAAGGATACTGTCGATAGCCAGTTCATGCTCGGCTAAAGGAGCTGACAGTTCGTCTTGTTCTTATTGGCTTATGGTCTGATTGATATAAGATATTTGTCCAAATTGTTGTGGCTGAGCCACTGAGATCGAATAGCGGTAAAATGTTTATCAAGGATACTCATATACGAGAACCGATAAGATCGGATCTATAGTTGATTCGAGTTCATGATGCGTTGTAACTAATGCTCCGCTCTAAAACCAAAAGCCGCTCGCGGTTTCTTCAACCCCGCCCATCGCTAGGAGCCATTCCCAATCCTTCGCGTTTACCGTGTACGTACATGAAGCTGCAAACGACAAACAAGGCCAGGGTATATCTTCAAGCTCCACCACGAATCGCCTCCCGCTATGCTGCTTTGCTGGCTCAACAATTTCAGCTCAGCTCAGCTCAGCCACCAGATACCTGCGCCCACGGCCAACAGCGTGGCTAGTATCATCGCCCCCTGCTTAGTAGACCACAGGAACATGCTCCAGCCAACAAGGACTTCCTTCCGTCTTGCTGCCGCACGTCGTTCCCAGGCCTCGGGATCGATGGCTACTGGGAGAACGAGGCGAGGATCCACCGCGCTGGACGTTGGAGCTTCCGTCGATGAGCGGGCTAGCTCCTTCTCAGTGAGGAGGGGAACCGCAGCTCTCAGGAAAACGGCTCTGTGGTCTGAGCTGCGGACTACGGGCATGGCGTCGTAGATTTTGACGTCGACTTTTTGAGGCTTGGTCTTGACCCACGATGGGACGTCTAGGTACAAGATGCGATCCGTCCAGCCAGGGTATCGGTGAGGGGCAAATACCCAAGGCACGTCCTCCACACCGTCGACTTTCAGGCGGGTGTCGTCCGCAGGCAGGACGTTGTATTTGTAGGTCGGGGGGAACTTGACTTCTGCTTCGCTCATGCCGTGCAATGTGCGTCCCGCCTGGCGTTCTCTCGTGAGTTGGTCCAGGGCGAAGAACCGGGAGTAATGGTGTTCGCTGTCGGGATCGAGACTGGGGAACGTCGCCATTGGCGGCGGGCTCGTTGTCGAGATGCGATAGTTGAGGTCGCCGCCGACAAAAAGATGGGAGCTTGGCTTGAAGACGGATATCTCCTGTAGCCGTTCCTGGAGAGCGAGCGTTTGTGCTTGGTGTTCGTCGTGCAACAGGTGCACTGCTTCATCTCTGGCACCTTCGGTTTGGCCCTCTCCCTGTGTAGGGGTGGTGGGCTTGTTCTTTTTCGGGTGCAGGATATCTTCCGGGTTCTCGAATGTCAGGCCACGCATGATGGTTGCCCAGTTGGCATTTCGCCTCGGCAGATTCCACTCCATTGCCGCAAGGTGGGTAGCCACGAAAGTGAGCTCCGTCTCCTTCTTCCCACCTTCGGTCGTCGTGCCCTCGTACAGGACTCTGAGCGCCACAGCGCCCTTGTTGCCCATTTCTGCCGCGCCAAAGCCCACTTCCGCCTCTTGCACACGCAGGATCGACTCGGGGTTTCGCGCAAAGAGCATGATGGCCGTCATACCGACATTACGAGTCCGGATCAGGGTGTACGGTCGCACAGGTGTAGGGGCGGTGGGCTTAACCAGTATCGTCTCGTCGTCGGCGTCATCGTGACTGTCGGTGTCCGAGGTGGGTTCGTTGGTGTATCTAGTCGCAGCGAGATTCAGGGCTTCCTCGAAGCGTGTGAGGTACGGGCTGAGAAAGTATCCGCCGATGAAAGAATACGATAATGGCGCGAATTCTTGCAAGGAGCTGTAGGGGGTTTTTTGGTCAGCTTTGTTGCAACATCATCCGAGGGGGCGGCAAAGCAACTCACAAGACAACAACCTCTGGGAGGGTGGTGGCGCTCTGCTTAAAAGCTGTGTGGAGGTTTGACGCAAAGACGTGAGTGTCGATAAAGTTCTTGGCGCAATTGAACGTCAACATGAACAGGTCGAGCGTAGAGGGAGCCATCTTGTCGGCGGGTGCAGTGGAGTTGACGTCGACAAGGGTCGCCATCGAAGCTCTGTCGGACGTAATAGCCGCCGATGACGATTATCGAGTTGGTGTGCTGGGATTACTCGGCTAGAGGTGGTCTACCCTGTTAGTCAGCTCTCTACCCCTCCTCTTCTTAAGAGCACGATGCTGATAGGTATCACCAGCTGAGAGGGTCACTAGGGGAAGTGATTAGATTAAGAGACGATTTGGAGAATATGAAGAAGAGGTGGAAAAGTAGATGTAGGAGTAGATCACGGAGTTGGCAAGAGCACACACGACTTAAAACCATTTGACGTTGTCCCTTGTCCGTCCTCACCAAGATGGTTTAGCAGGATCGCCTGAGAAGTGTTAGTGAGATGGTTGCAGGTGCGGTCAACACTCACTCAGCCACGCGCTAGCTGCCCGGTAGCTGCCCAGTAGCTTCCAAATGGCATTGATCAGGACGAGACAAGCTCACGCCAACTAACCCCCCGCTTCCAAGCTTGGTTTTTACCAAAAACTAACAAGGAGAGAGAGGCTGTCAAATGCCAAAGACGACTTCGTGAACAGGCTACAAGGTGATAATTGTGAAGTTGAAGGGAGGGCTGAGGAATTTCTTAGGTAGGGGGAAGATCCCTGACATCCCCCGACGTCTTAACAATCGCTCTGTACTCACCTAAGAGTCTAGTTCAGCTGTGCAGAAGGCAAATATTGGTGTAGGATGGGAAACTTTTGTTGTAATGCGCGACATTACTTAGTACGATAAGAATAAGCCGTGATGATTCGAACATATATATGTGGATGTACTTTGCACCTGACGACATCCATTCAGTACTCCTTCTGGCGTTTCATGCAGTCAGCTGGTCGACGTGCCCTGCAAAATGGAGTCAAGCGAAGCCGCACCTGACCCTTCGAGCCAGCCAGTCTCATGACTTCAAACCTATTTCATATCCAAGTCTACGAGTTATCTGTAAGCACATTATGCAGATGATTATACCTCTCTCGATATCGAAGTCAAGAGTGTGCCGAGATAAGGTACTGCCACTATGGCTGTTGCAGTGGTCCTGTGTCATCTGCAACGCTGTTTTCACAAGTTGCAAAAGACGAAAAGTCGCGCGACAATGTTAAATTGAGAAACTACCATGCGTATGTTGGTTGGTTCCGCTGCCCATCGACATGCCCACAACTACCCGTGCTCCGCCTCCACCATATACAAACTTGCCAGGCCGGTAAAGCCTGCGGATGATGGAGGCGCAGTGTTGAGAGTCCAAGCACCAGTGTACTGAGGTCGACCATCCACTTTGACTGCCAAGGCAGACATGTAGACGTTGTAGATATCCCAGTACTTTGCTAGACCGTCCCCTAGAGCCCATAATAGTTGCCAGGGACCACGTTTGGCGACTAGTCACCCAATCCTGGTTTCCCCCTCGTGCAATGTCGTAGTAACGAATTCCCAACCAACCGAACCGAAACCAAAGTCAAAGAAAAGATGCCGCACTCTTCCTCATTAGCTTTGCAACCGTCGTTCCCTCGCCGCTTCTTGTCTTTGCCGACTTGACAGTCGTAGTAGTTGTCAGACGGCATCGGCAGGCCTGGTGCTTTGCCAAAGTTTCCATCTCTCGTAATCGACCCCTCACCTAACGACCTCCCCAGAAGCGGGCCTCGACGCGTGATTGACCAAGTGCGAAGCCTCGAATGAAAATCAACTCACAATGCGCATAATTGAAGGAAAAGTAGGAGAAATAGAACAGAAGAAAAGGAAAAAAAGGAAAAGTCCGTCGGTGAACGCAGCTCCAACGCATCGACCAGGTGCAAGGTACTAAAACCATGGCACTCAAGTTGGGGGTGGGGGGAATGTCTCGCGGGGCGGCCCGACGACGGTGCCTCGCAAAGTTGAGGTACCGGAAGTGCCGTTCGAGTTCTTCCTACCATGGATATCGAACCATAGAGCTTCGGCAGCAAAATCTACCGGGGCATCTATGAAATCGAGTGTCCTATTATGAAGAATCGAGTCATTCGTAAAATCAACCCAAATATGTCGAAGAACGAAGTTGAGAATGCGTAAGGAGAATGCGACCAGTTCGCGTGGCAAGGCGTATCATCAAAGAGACCCTGCTGGTGAGCAGAACCCGTACCAATCGTGATGTCTGGGAGCCATGCCACAGAAGGAATGAAGCCAGTAAGCCGATCTGGTCATACTCCAACGTGTTGGACAGAAAGCATGTGATTACCGCCGTCGAGGATCACTTCGGCAGAAAGGAACTTGAACCATATGCTGGACTTGCGCCCTTCGTAGATGAGCGCAAACTAGATCATCGTCCACTAGGTCAGCATGCGCTTGTCAGCAACGGGTTCAACAGCCAGTGGTCGATGAGCTGCTTGGGTGGTCAACTTACATCCTGTCACTTCCACCGACGGCACGGTTGGTATCTGGGGTGTTTACACCAGCACCAGATCCTCGTTCAATCACTTTGCGGCGCGAGCTGGGAAGGGCGTTAGGCTTATTAGCGCCAGGCTGAGGGGTCGGCTGACCAGCAGTAGCGGCGTTCGTGCGAGATGCCCGCGCCTTTTCATCCTCCTCCTGAGTGGCTCCTGCAGCCTGAGCGATTGCCTGAGCATTCTTCTGGTACTTGTAGACGGTCCAGTCGAAGACGTAGTCGTACTGGAAGCCCTCGCGGACGAAGAGATCACGGAAGATCTTGCGGAGGTAGCTGTAATCGGGCTTGTCGTCGAATCGGAGGGATCGGGTGTAGTTGAGGTAGATGGCGAACTCGTTGGGGAAGCCGCGGCAAAGGACCTCGGTCGGGGTGGTCATCTTCTTCTCCATGATGCGGTCGTATTTCTGCTTCTTGGTAGCAGCTTTAAGTCCCTGCCAGGGAAGAGATCCACGGCAGAAGTAGAGCATGACGTAGCCCAGGGACTCCATGTCGTCACGGCGAGATTGCTCTGTGAAGCTGTCAGTGGCCAGGAGGAAACGGAAAGGGGGTTGAGTGCGTGGAAAGATAACATACCGACACCCAAGTGGGTGTTGATGGAAGCATAACGGGCGGTTCCGGTCAAGTTCTTGTTCTCTCTGTAAGGGATATGGAAGTGCGTCTTGGGGTCACGGTACTTCTTGGCCAAACCAAAGTCGATAACATTGACCTGGTTGCCACGCTTACCAATACCCATGAGGAAGTTGTCGGGCTTGATATCACGGTGAATGAAAGACTTGGCGTGGATGTACTCGATGCGAGAAATCAGCTGATCAGCGAGAAGCAGCACAGTCTTGAGAGAGAATTTGCGGTTGCAGAAGTTGAAGAGATCCTCCAAACTGGGTCCGAGGAGGTCAAGGACCATGGCGTTGTAGTCACACTCGGTACCGAACCAACGGACAAAGGGAATACCAACACCGCCGGCCAAGGACTTGTAGACTCTGGCCTCATACTCAAGCTGGGGGTGCTTGGCCTTGACGCTCTCGAGCTTGATGGCAATCTCCTCGCCGGAGATGATGTTGGTGCCGAGGTAAATATCACCGAAGGAACCAGAACCGATCTTGCGACCGATGCGGTACTTGTTACCGACACGAAGATCCTGCCATTATCGTTAGCCATGTGCAGTTACAGTTGGGAGCGAGCGGCTCGATGGACAGATTGGGCACTTTCAGCAAGAGCATACATGGCTCCTGGCAAGACTGTGTCCATTGTCGAAATGAACCGATCAACGACTATCCACTTACCATTGTGGTCATCTTGACTGATGTGCTGACTCTGCACCTTTCGGATGCAGATTTTGGTTTGGTAGGTCGGGTGTCGATCGACGGGTAAGACTTTTAATCGACAACGAAGCGATGGGCTGGTTATAATTGAGGAATTAGTATGGATGCATGAGACAGGAGAAGACTTCGAACTGTGCCGTTGGAGCGATGCAGGTAGTTGAAACCGTTGTGAGAACAGATAGAGGTGGGAAGGTTGAAGAGTGGATTAGAGTTGGTCGAGGCCTTGGAAGAGAGGATTGAATGAGGCAAAGCTCGGATCCACCGCCAAAACCCACGGTCAGCTCGAGGCTAGGCAGGGCAAAAGGGACGAATAGGGATCCCCAGGCAGAGGAAACGGTTGTCGGTGGATTGAGGATCAAGGTGATCGAAAATTGGGAGAACATAGCGAAAAAGGAAGAGTATGCTCACCTGTAGAGAGTTTGTATGTATGCGTTGACGGGAGAGGTGGAGAGAGTCGTGTGTGTGCGTGTGATGGTTTGATGGTACCTGTGTGACGAAAGAGGTGGACGGGGTCAGTATGGGCTCTTGAAAGTCAAGATGAGCAGAGGGGGGGCGGATGGATTGACGAGGGCCGGGAGGGGGTAATTTGTAATTGATGCTGATGGTGATTGAAGTGGAATATGTATGCGTACCTTATTTCCAAATGCCAACGAAAGCCGTGTCCAAAGTGAAGGGGACAGAGACGATGTGCTGTTCGGGCAAGAAGCCTTTGGCAATCAAGGGCTCGTGAAAGAGATCGTGGGGTGAAGAAAGGAAGAGTAAGGTAGGAAGGAGGAGGGCGAGAGAGGATGGGAGGAGGGTACCTTAATGGGATGGGAGCCCAAAAGTGGAGGCGACAAGGCAAAATGGAGAAAAGCACCACCTTCCTTCCCTCAGGCGGCGGCAGGCTCTCTGTCCGTACCTACCTTACGGACCTCAGTACTTTAGGTACTTCCCACCTTCCCAAGGACTGGGCGACACGCGAAGGGCGAAGGAGGGCTGGCGGCGGCCAGCAGGCGGCGGACCACCTCACTGGGGCGGACAGGCGCTGGGTGCTAAATGGGACACGGAGACTGGACGGGGGAAATAGAACCAAGGAAGAAGGCACGAAGGAAACGAGGTACCTATCTGTAAGGTACTCCGTGGACCTCAGGTGCGCAGGTAGGTAGGTGCCTTCCAAAGGTACCTACGATACCTAAGGTATTTTGGGCAGATGGGCAGCCTGAGAACCTAGGTAAGTACCTCCATTGTCGAAAATCCG